AATACCAAATTCCCACATAAAACAGATCTGTGTTTGGGGGCGTGTTTTACCTTTATTAAGTCACTCTTCTATCCAATCAGTGTTTAGATGGGCGGTGTTCAAGCGCTCAAGGCGCGCGCCCGGGCGCGGAGACCGTAACTCGGTCCGGAATTCAGCGCAGAGTGATGACAGTGCCAACGCAGTCACATTTAGACAAGGACTAACTCACTTTCAGCTCTGTCATTTAATCAACTGATCCAGTTTTACTTGCATACATAAACCCAGGCGCAAGTTCAGACCATGCGCTCTATGTGAACAGCTGCGCAAAGACGCACAGGCTGAAAGACATTTGACAGCTCGCCAACGGGACACTGGAGTGGACATGTGAAGAAATGGATATGCAGCCTCTTCATATGATCAAAATGCGATCTGACATCATCATCGTCCTCATCCTCACTGCTGTGATTGTTCCCCTGTGCACCTCGCAGTCAGGTGAGCGTCCAACTCGCGTGCGTAAAAGTGCTTATCCGTCCTTCAGTCTTGTTGGATAGTTTTGTGTTCTGGTATAGCATTTAATTTAATGTATGAAAACATGTCATGCATTCAACACTTTCTAACCCGTGAAGTCGCAGTGATCGTGTATTCTCACTCAGGCAGCGCAAATACTTCTGTGCCAAACTCCAAGTGGCCAAATTACATCCGTGCGCAATTCATGATGTAATTCAGTTTTATATGCGTGTTTAATGATATTTAGATGTCAAGATAATGTCAAAACATTCGTCAGAGATCTATTATTAGGGGAAACTGACATCAGGATTCCACTATTAATGATAAATCACTGTTTGCACCGCCATTGCGCGTTTGCGCACGCTATTGCGTGCGGATATGTCTCAGTCCGTCTCTTTTGAAACGATCTTGTTTCTTGACTGATTCTTGTTTTTTTGAAGTGTGAATGAGCAAGTTATTTCGTTTCTTCTCCACACGATGGTGGCAGTCAACCGAGAAACATCAGGGCAGCTGAAGCGCGGAGCCGTGCGTTTTTACGCATCTTTCTTCATGATGTGTAATGACTGCGGAAGCGCTCTGAACCTTTAAGAATTAACTCATTATGTATTCAAAGAAAATTTCACGCTGTTTTTTAAAGAACACCCCACATTATTATTATTATTATTGTTGTTGTTGTTGATACTACAGCAGTATAATTATTTTCTTGCTATTCTGGCTATTTAATAAGTTTATTACATGTTTTAAAACAATTTTATTTATTTTGATAGTTTATATATTTCCATAAGTCAATTCTAGTTATCTAATTATGTATTATAAAATCTAATTTTTTTTATGCAAGCTGGAGGTGATTTGTCTGATTTGTTATTCAGACATGTTGCTTTTTTTGCATAGAGAATACATTTAATTTAAGCTCTTTTGAAGTAAATCTACTTTAATGCTAGATTAATAATGGGATAATGAACTAATAAAAAATGATGTTAGACGGTCTATGGCTGCCTCTGCTCAAGGTTACTGCACCTGCAAAATATCAGGACATTGAATATTTATAAGCTAATTTAAATGTTGTTCTACACAATTTTAGCTATGCTTTTTATTAACACAAAGCTGTGGTTTGAGCTCATTTCCAAAAGTTGTGCATGTAAATTTGTTCTACATTAATTTTTCATTGTTTCATAGGTCTGGTTTTGTGGAAAATCATATTTTAAAGTGTGTCCTTTAAATACTTCTCATTTATGCATCAGCTCACACCTCTGTCGAGAACCATATGGCACCGCATTTGACCCAGGCTTCCATCTGACATTTAAGTTTGATAGAAAATTACTGCTGGTCGACCTGAGAATATGATCAAATTATTAATCATCTTCAACCCAAATTAAGTTTGGTTGGAGAGTTCATGCGAGCTGAGGGAGTGAGAATATTTCCTGTTAATTAATGTAGTCATTGCTCTGATGTCTAGACGTGAACTTTATGTAGAACAGAAGAAGTTTCTTTCTTAGTAGAATATCCCAATATTAAGACAATTATTATTTATAACAGCCCATAATATGGATCACATTCTTTGACCTAATCATTATCTTTACTAATACAGAATATATTCACACATCTGGTCTTTTGATCACAGGTATCAATATGTTTATACACTGCTACTCCTAATGTATGATCATCTGTATTGAAAGACACAGTTTACTCACCCTTACATTGTTCAAAACCTGTGTGGCTTTGTTTCTTTCTTTGGTGGATCACTAAAGAAGATGTTTTGGACTGACGGCCTCAGTCACTTTTGCATCTATAAACTTTATCGAATGGACAGAATGCAGCATTCAACACAAGCTAAGCGCTGTTACCACAGCCATATATTCAACATGTTACTCAGTTTGTTAAACCAAGCAAAACCTGCTTGCGCATTAATGCACTTACAATGAAAGTATGTGTGGCAAGATGTTCTGGAGAGTTTAAAGGCAAAAATGTGAAGCTCATATTTTTGTTCATACGTGTTTTTATGATTGTTTTAATGTATTTGTGTAGTATTGGAGTTGTAAATCATCCTTTTAGCAGTTAGATTTACTCTTCTAGGTGGATGAACAATTTGTGATGTAAGAAGTCACATTCTGTTGGGTTAGTAGTGATTTTATCAGAGTAGTTCTGTTACTTACTGTACACTGCCATTCAAAAGGTTGTGGTCGGAAAGATTTAAAAAAAAAAAAATAATGTTTTATGCTTAATGTTTGGGGCCTGTTTTTGTGACGTCACACAGACAGACATCTGAGATCGGCACGATTTGAGAAAGGGGTAAAGATTTGAGTAGATTAGATTTTTTTTAAATCATTTTAGGGTGGTTGTGTACACACACTGCCAACACACATTTCAGTTCAAACAACTTGTAAAAGTGCATGTAGCATCCTATGACCCCTTTAATAGAAAATTCAAAAGTACAGCATTTATTTGAAATGGTAATCTTTTGAAACATCGTTAATGTCTTTACTGTCATTTTTGTTCAGTTTAATGCATCCTGGATGAATGAGACAGAACTTTTGGCCAGTAGTGTATAATGTCAAAGTCTTGTGGCTATTCCTTCAAAATTAATTTTTTTTAATGTTTCTCTGTGCACTGCATTGACATTTAAAGTGCATTACTGAAGATGTGACTTTATTTCTTTACTTATTTTTTTTTGCATGAAAATCATGATGATTCACTGTTGTCTGTATCTGCTGTTAGAGTATTTGTTTCTTTTTTCATCAGTATTTGATTGTGCTGCCGTTTTGGCCCTTGACCTATGTGTGCAATACAGTGAAAAAATCTTCTTTCTCTATTCAATTGAGCTCATGCTGAACTCAGACTCTCCGCCAAAGCAATCGGTTGACTTCTTTTTTTCAGCATCCTCTTATTGTCCCTGGCGCTTAAGAGGGAATGACATCTTCAATTTCCCGATTCTCAGTACGAAGTAAACCAATAAAGCCTGTTGTAATCCACAGACTCCCGTTCTCTAAGAATGGCAGAAAGGCAAAAAAGCAGAGAGGATTTTCTTTTCAGTGGCTGTAGGGTTTGTTTCTCTTCCACTTGTAATTCCTCTCAGAAAACAAATGCCTGCGGGTCTCTTTCTGTAGGACAGAGCTGCCAATACCCCCCTCCTCACTCTACGAGTCTTTCAGACTCGCTTTCACCCTCCCTATCCGTTTCTCTTTCAGCATCTTCTCCGCGCCGCCTGGCTCTGTGCCCTCACAGTCAGCTGTAATGCTAGTCTTCTCCTCATCCTGTGTGTGATGCAGACCTGCATTTCTTATTGAGCTTTCGCTGCGAGCACGCGATTGTTGGTTTATACAGGTGTTTAAGCCCAATAAGTGGGATCATCATGGTCTTTCCGAGCATCAGGCATTAGAAAGACCTTTGGGAATTTTTAAACGGAGATAAAGTGTCCCGTAATGCCTCTGCAATAACTGACGGTTTTTTACTGTAGTTATACTGTAGTTTGCTTTTACAGTGTTAATGTGCAACTGTGATGTGTGATGAAACTTTGCTTCTTTTTGTGACAGTAAAACTGTAACTTTTATGTTTTCAGAGGAAAATGTGAGCTGCTGTCGCCGTTTTGGTTTGGGGGTGGTTGCCAAATCATTGCTATGAGGTTGCTAGGGTGCTGTAATTGGTTGTAAGCATATTGTAGATGGTTGCTAAGGTGTTGTCAGAGGTGTTTCCTCTCCTTTTTCTTTTGCCTACAGTTAAAATAGATTCTGCAAATTTTAGGGTTGGTACAGTTTTTTTTTTTTTTGAAAGAAGTCTCCTATGCTCACCAAGGCTGCATTTATTTAACCAAAAACGCAATAAAAATAGCAATATTCAGAAATATTATTTGGTCATGAGACATTACGTCTGGGCTTTATGTTCTCAGCGGAGGGCTGGCGTACATCTCCACTGATCCATCACTCGTTCCAGCAGTAAAAATCTTTTTGAAAGAAGTCTCCTATGCTCACCAAGGCTGCATTTATTTAACCAAAAACGCAATAAAAATAGCAATATTCAGAAATATTATTTGGTCTCTGTTTGGTCTGTCCTGTAGGTAAGGTTGCTGTTACCCAGACCTTGGCTCTGTGTTTCTTCAAAACCATGAGACATTACGTCTGGGCTTTATGTTCTCAGCGGAGGGCTGGCGTACATCTCCACTGATCCATCACTCGTTCCAGCAGTAAAAATAACACTCTAATTCGAGATGAGCGTGACTGTAATTTAAAGCGACAGCGTCTTAGCAGAGAACAATAAAGCAAGACAAAAGCAGACGTCGGTAATTTTAATTTGATAAGCAGGCGATCACGGTGAGAGGTCATCTGTTCTGGTTGTGTTCCACAGATAATTATTAGGCTCAAGTCATCACTTAAACGTTTTCTAAGAGCCTGTCATGCTATGTCTGACTTTATGTGGATTTATTTTAAAATGACTAAGAATGATAATCCATTCAGAAGTTTGGGTTGGTAAGATATTTTAAAATGTTCTTAAAAGTCTCTTAAGCTCACCAAGGCTGCATTTATTTGATTACAAATACAGTTAGAAACAGTAATATTGTTAAATATTATCACAATTTAAAATAAATGATTTCTATTTTAATATATTTTAAAATGTAATTTATTTCTGTGATGAAAAGCTGAATTTTCAGCATCATTACTCCAGTCTTTAGTGTCACACGATCCTTTAGAAATCTTTCTAATATACTGATTTGCTGCTTAAGAAACATTTCTTATTGTTATCAGTGTTGAAAACAGTTGTGCTGCTTAATAGTTTTTGTTTTTTGAAACTGTGATACTCTTTTTCAGGTTTTTGTAAATGGAAAGTTCAAAAGAACAGCATTTTACTTAAATCACTATTTTTTTTGAAACATTACACATATCTTTGTCACTTCTGATTAATTTAATTCATCCTTGTCGAATAAAAGTTCCAGTTTAATTCCAAAAAAACTCTGCTATTTTCAGTCAGCCATAGCAGCCCTCATGGTTTTAAAC